CGTCAAATTTATGTGCAGAAGGCGTCTGACAGAACATTCTAGAATGATAAATGCTTGCAGCCTTGAATGCGACGTAACTAAACATTATCCATTGTCCTAAGTAAATTTTTAAGAGTTGATGGGAGCGAGATGGTTTTATAAAACCCTTGTATAAACAATTCTTTTTGCCTGAAACGTTTTTGCTTAAAAATTTTCTCAAACAAGAAATTCAATGACATTTTGGTTTTGGATCTTCGGCTGGTTCCTCTGCATCCTCACGATGGTTGTAAATAGATACATTGCCGTGGTGAAACCTTTGAAATACTTGACTTTTATGAAGCGCTGTCGAGTCATTCAAATGTTTTTTACATTTTGGAGAATTCCTTTTCTTTTCTCTCTTACTTTTTCTTTATTGTCGATAAGACTCAATTCATACGAACATGCGATGACCATCTTTGGCTATTTGTATTTGCTTTTCGAGATAAACTTGTGCGTAAAGTTGATCTTTTTTCTTGCACCCATCAGCTTTTTGTTCAATTTACAATCTGAACTCTAGGGATCGCACTGTAGCCAGGCAACTGAATTTTAATCATCGGATCGTTAAAGTTCAAACACAGAACAAATCAGCTGTAAAATGGGTGGTTTTGGCAACGTGTATGTTTCTATTGTGTTATGGAATATTCTTGCGTTGTAGTTTATAATTTTTAACTGGTCATAAATGTGGTAACGATTTTTATTATAAAATAAGTCTGCAAGTTATTAACTCCGGAATAAACCGTAAAGTTTACACTTTCTATAAAGTAAGAATGCAAAAGGCTTCTCTTCAAAAGGCGTCGTTATATAACAGCAGAGCAGTTCCGACGCAAGAAAAACATTAGCTGATGCATATACTTAAAACTTTCCAAGATTCCGAGGACTTCCGGTTCAGAATCAAAAAGCTTCCAATGAAACAAAGAGTCTCCTGTTAAAGAGAAGTAGTTTTGATAAGACCTCATATTGATTATTTTGAGGCCATACTTTGCTGGAGAAAATGTTTTTCTTAAATTAATCATGTAGGCTAGCATGTATTTTAGTCCTAGAAACATCTGGTTCCTATAGCTGTGAGCTTGCGTTTTATATTTTAAAGATACAGCGATAAAAATATCATTGTCCTCTTCAATTTTTCTGTGTTTTTTACTGCATGTTCTCTTAAATGTTTTAGAGTATTAAGCTCTTGTTGATGAATTACGTGATAACTTTGAAACGATAAACACTGGAAAAAAAGTGCTGAATTGCCTGACTTTTCGTCAACGACAGTCGATTTGCATACGTGCAACTTCCCCATCAGCTGTCACGGTTTAATTTCACGGGGAATTGACGATCACCTTAAACAGTCAATGTTCACATAAGATTCATTGATATATATATATACTTTTAATTTCCTCGTTTTCATTTGAAAATTTTTCACATTTGGTGGCGTAGGCAACAACGATATAACGTTTCCAACACTTTTTATTCTATGAAAACTTATCTCGGAGATGCTCGTTAAGGAAGACCTTCGTTCGACTAAAAATGAACTGCTTGACAAATATTCAAGTTATGTAATCCATCGGTCGTATGTCAGGAGAGATTGTCAAAAGCGAGCGCTTTAATGGAATTTTACAATTATGTTTTCTTGATAAGTCTTTGTGAAATGCTTTTAATTCCTGCTCGTGTGTTTAGCAAACAATTTTTCAAAGAAAAGTGACGCACTTGACCCACAAGTATTTCACAGGATGACCTTTTAAAACGAGTATAAAAAAAGAGTTATTTGGTTGCAACTGATACAAAACAAGCTGTAGATAAATCTATTTTATTAGACGTTTTGGTGTGTAGCATCGCTGAGTATTTTTCCGCGTCCGAATTGTTTTTACGACTGAACAGTTCTTAAAACGTTTTAAACTTAATAATAAAAGGGGCGATTTACGCTTAACACTAACCGATAATTTTGAAATGATTGCTATTTGAAATATTTGTTGTTGGCTAAGTTTCGTTAATTCGCATCTTATTTGCACTATCATGCTGTACCGATAGTAAAAAAAAAAAAGGACTGCCCGAATTTTACTTTTTAATTAAAACACACTAGAAGATAAAGTCAAAAATGTCTCGCGATTGTTATCAATTTCTGATTGCAATTGGTTTATTCTTCTTGAAAATCTATAAACAGACGTCAAACTCCGTACACGAAGCGTCCGACAAGAACGTTGTTAAGTGATGGATGTTTGCAGCCTTGAATATGACTTAATTAAAAAGCATATAATTCCCTAATTAACTATTGGTTGGTTGGTTGGGGCCAGATGGCTGAATAAAAACTCTATATAAACACAATTAAATTTTGTACCGTTAAAACCTTTCAAAACACTCTTGGCTTGACCGAAGAAACAAATTGAAAAGTCCTAGACAGCCATTTGGAAGAAATTCAATGGAAACGTGGTTTTGGGTTCTCGGCTGGTTCCTCAGCATTCTCACGATGGCTGTAAATGGATTTGTCATCTTCCTCGTCTGCATTAAACGTCACCTTCGCACCAAAACCAACGCATTTGTCGTGTCTTTAGCAGTGGCTGATCTTGGTGTTGGAATGATTGCTGTTCCTTCGCTTTTTTTCTGCAGCCTTGCAACCGAATGTACTCCACGCTCAAAAGAGGGATTAATTGTGATATATGTAAGGGTGTTCATTCTTTACATCTCTGGAACAAATTTGTTTAGTTTGGTACTAGAACGTTATGTTGCTGTTGTGAACCCTTTGAAATACTTGACTTTTTATGAGGCATCGCCGAGTCATTCAAATGGTTCTAACATCTTGGGAATTCCTTTTTTTTCTCTCTTACTATAGTGTCGATTAGACCTAGTGGAATCGGTCTTGCCAGGACTATGCTCGGCTACTTGGGTTTGCTTTTCGAGATAATCTTGTGCGTAATTCTAATTTTTTTTCTTGCATCCATGTTTCTTGTTGTTTACTCAAGAGATCGCATTTTAGCTAAGCAATTACGGTTTAATCATATGGTGGCTAGAGCTAAAACTCAGAACAAGGCGTCAGCGGTAAGATGGGTGGCTTTGATAACGTGTGTGTTTCTATCGTGTTACGGAATAATGATGCGTTGTAGTTTATTATTTTGACTGGTCAATCATGTAACGATTTTCATTACAAAATACCTCTTCAAATTATTAACTCCGGAATAAACCCTATAGCTTATGCTTTCTTCAAAAGAGATATACAACAAGAATGCAAAAGACTTCTCTTCAAAAAGGCGTCGTTAATAAACAACAGAACAGATCCGACGCAAGAAAAACAGAGTTGTTAAGAACAACCATTAAAAAGAAATTCAATGGAAACGTGGTTTGGGGTTCTCGGCTGGTCTGCAGTCAACGTCAGCTTCGCACCAAAACCAACACATTTGTCGTTTCTTAAGCGGTGGCTGATTTTGGTGTTGGGATGTTCGCTGTTCCTCCTCGCTTTTTCTGCAACCTTACAACCGAATGCAATCCACGCTTTGAAACCTCTGAAATATTTGACTTTAATTTGCAGCAACATTTACTTTGGGGTAATTTTTTTTCCTTAAACCATGAAGCTGACTTGTATTTTGATATAAGAAACATCTGGTTCTTAAAAATATGAGCTTGCCTTGCATAATAAAATA